ATAAGCGGGACCCTGCAGTAGCCCGGAACTTAACCTGCCGTATAAGCGGGACCCTACAGTAGCCCGGAACTTAACCTGCCGTGTAAGCGGGGCCCTACAGTAGCCCGGAACTTAACCTGCCGTATAAGTGGGACCCTACAGTAGCCCGGAGCTTAACCTGCCGTATAAGCAGGCCCCTACAGTAGCCCGGAACTTAACCTGCCGTATAAGCGGGACCCTACAGTAGCCCGGAACTTAACCTGCCGTATAAGCGGGACCCTACAGTAGCCCGGAACTTAACCTGCCGTATAAGCGTGACCCTCCTGCACAAAGCTGCACCCCTCTCCCCTCAACATCACCATTCCCCGCCTTCCCACACCTTATTGCAACCCTCCCCCCCTCTCCCGTTCATACACCTCACTGTATCCCTCATCCTTTTCTACACTTCACTGCATTCCCCCCCCCCCCCCCCAACACTTCACTGCACTCCCCGTCCCTCCCTGCAGCAACCCACGCGAAAAGCTTTCTCAATTTTCCTGTATATTGGAGGGTGAGGGGGGAGGGGAAGGGAGGGGGCCAGTGGACACAGGTCACTAGGCAGTTCTCGGTCTCGATCGATCCCCTCGTCTGGAGAGGGTGAAGGAAGGGGAGATAGAGGAAGGAGGGGGGAAGAAGGAAGGGAGGGAATCTATTTACCACAGCGTGTGTAGTGATAACAGTTTAATACTGGCAGTAACACTGACCTTGAAATAATCCTTAGCTCATTTTTGTGTCTTGTACACTCAATCTGCCTGTTATCCTCCTGCCTGCTGTCCTCCTGCCTGTTATCCTCCTGCCTGCTATCCTTCTGCCTGTTATCCTCCTGCCTGCTGTCCTCCTGCCTGCTGTCCTCCTGCCTGCTGTCCTCCTGCCTGCTGTCCTCCTGCCTGTTATCCTCCTGCCTGTTGTCCTCCTGCCTGTTGTCCTCCTGCCTGTTGTCCTCCTGCCTGTTGTCCTCCTGCCTGTTATCCTCCTGCCTGCTATCCTCCTGCCTGCTATCCTCCTGTCATCCTCCTGCCTGCTATCCTCCTGTCTGTCATCCTCCTGCCCGCTATCCTCCTGTCTGTCATCCTCCTGCCTGCTATCCTCCTGTCTGCTGTCCTCCTGCCTGTCATCCTCCTGCCTGCTATCCTCCTGCCTGTCATCCTCCTGCCTGCTATCCTCCTGCCTGTCATCCTCCTGCCTGTCATCCTCCTTCCTGTCATCCTCCTGCCTGTCATCCTCCTGCCTGTCATCCTCCTGCCTGTCATTCTCCTACCTGTCATTCTCCTGCCTGTCATTCTCCTGCCTGTTATTCTCCTGCCTGTTATTCTCCTGCCTGTCATTCTCCTGCCTGTCATTCTCCTGCCTATCATCCTCTTACCTACCATCCATCCTCCTGCCTGTCCTCTATCCTCCTGCCTGTCATTCTCCTGCCTGTCATTCTCCTGCCTATCATCCTCTTACCTACCATCCATCCTCCTGCCTGTCCTCCATCCTCCTGCCTGCCATCCATCCTCCTGCCTACCTACCTACCCCTTTCCTCTGACATCCTACCTCCTTTCTCTTTCTTCCCCCTACTTCCTCTTACCCCTACCTCCTTTCTCTTTCTTCCCCCTACCTCCTTTCTCTTTCTTCCCCCTACTTCCTCTTACCCCTACCTCCTCCCCCTCCCCCTCCCTCCTCCTGCCTTACTGCCTCTTCCCCTACTACCACCTCCCCCTACCTCCTCCTCTTCCCGTACCTCCTCCTCCACTTCCCCTACCTCCTCCTCCTCTTCCCCTACCTCCTCCTCCTCCTCCTCCTCCTCTTCCCCTACCTCTTCCTCCTCCTCCTCTTCCCCTACCTCCTCCTCCTCCTCTTCCCCTACCTCCTCCTCCTCTTCCCCTACCTCCTCCTCCTCCTCTTCCCCTACCTCCTCCTCCTCCTCTTCCCCTACCTCCTCCTCCTCCTCCTCTTCCCCTACCTCCTCCTCCTCTTCCCCTACCTCCTCCTCTTCCCCTACCTCCCCCTCTTCCCCTACCACCCCCTCTTCCCCTAACTCCTCCCCTCCTCTCACCCTAACTCCTCCCCTCCTCTTCCCCTAACTCCTCCTCCTCCTCTCCCCCTAACTCCTCCCCTCCTCTCCCCCTAACTCCTCCCCTCCTCTCCCCCTACCCCCTCCTCCTCCTCACCCCTGGTATCCAATCTTCCCCGAAAATTGTCACCGAATTGAAGTGACAATCAGAGGAGTCAGTCAGTCTCTCTCTCAATCTCTCTCTCATATTTTCTTTCTCTCCCTCCCATCTACATTCCTCTTCTCTCATTCTCTTTCTTATCTATCCTTCTCCACCTCTTCTCCCATCCTCTTCTTTCTTCTCTCCTTCTAACTCCCCACGGAGGACACACCCATGGTGGATTATATCCATGCAGGATTATACATTTCATTTCATATCCTTGAATTAGTATTCATTCTGAAACATGTATGTTATGTTTTGTATGTGTAGTTTATTTTAGTGTGTGTGTATGTGTTGTAACAGATGTATTCATTAATGTGTTGTAGCAAATGTACTCATTAGTATGTAACAGATTTACTCAGTTTATGTCTGAGATGTGACTTCATGTAAAGTAAAAGGACAGAAGTGAAACTAATGTGACATTATATTGTGGCAACGTTTTGCTCTCCAGGAGCTTTGTCAAGCCGTTACAAACAGTACATGGACACAGAGGGTATATATAGGCTCAGAGTGAGGTGCAATACTAGTGGTAGTAGTAGTAGTAGTTGTGACATAAGTTGTAGTAGTAATACAATATGGTAGTACAATTAACTCGTACAAGAGTAAAAGGATATAAAAGCTATTACTTGGGTAACATAAAAATAGGTTAGACAAATATAGACTGGATAGAGAAGGCCTGTTTCAGTGTTCACTCTCTGTAATGTGCTTTGTGTACTATTAACAGGAGAGGCTAGGTGATGGCAGGGTTTACTGTTTTCAGGAGGATTCTTGCTAAGACTTCAGAGATGGTGAAGCTGTCTTTGTTTTGTTTAATTGTATTAGAAACAGCGATTAGTGCTGACTCAAGGCACTTGCGTCTGCGGAAATTAGTTTCTTTGATCACTAATTGGGTGTCCCTGAATTTCATGAGATGATTGGTGGAATTTCTGTGTTGTACACAGGCGTTGTTCAAGTTACCGTTCCTACATGCGTAAATGTGTTCATTGAGGCGAGTGTCGAGGTTTCTTGCTGTTTCACCTACATAAATCTTGTCGCAGCCTCCACAGGGTATAGTGTAAACCCCTGCATTAACTGGTTCGTGGTGCTTTTATTTTGTCCTGGTTAGATCCTTTATTGAAGTGCTGGAAGTGATGGCGACTCTAGTGTTAGCTTGTGAAAGTACTTTAGAAACGTTTAGTACAACCTGGCTGTTGGGAAGAATTATAACTTTGTTGGGAGTGGTGTTGGTGCTTGGAGAATTAATGATCTGAAGAGCTCTTTTCTTGCAGTCTTTGATGAAAAAGGAAGGGAAATGTAACTCAGTGAAGGTTTGGTGAATGTATGTACATTCCTCGTCAAGAAACTCAGGACTACAAATTCGGTATGCTCTTAGGAAAAACCCGATGATGATGCCTCTTTTGGTCTTGGTATCTTGACTGGAATAAAAGTGTGTGAGATCATTTTTATTGGTAGGTTTCTGATAAACTTGAAATCTTGGGTTGTTATCTACTTTATGAATGAGGACGTCGAGGAAAGGTAACTTGTCATTGGACTCTTCTTCTAGTGTAAACTGGATCGCCGGTTCAACTGCGTAGAGCCTTGCCTTGCCTGAAGTTTCCGTACATCAAAATGTTTGGGAGTTATTACGAGGACGTCGTCCACGTAACGTAACCAAGTCAAGATACCAAGACCAAAACAGGCATCATCATCGGGTTTTTCCTAAGAGCATAATACCGAATTTGTAGTCCTGAGTTTCTTGACGAGGAATGTACATACATTCACCAAACCTTCACTGAGTTACATTTTCCTTCCTTTTTCATCAAAGATTGCAAGAAAAAAGCTCTTCAGATCATTAATTCTCCAAGCACCAACACCACTCCCAACAAAGTTATAATTCTTCCCAACAGCCAGGTTGTACTAAACGTTTCTAAAGTACTTTCACAAGCTAACACTAGAGTCGCCATCACTTCCAGCACTTCAATAAAGGATCTAACCAGGACAAAATCAAAGCACCACGAACCAGTTAATGCAGGGGTTTACACTATACCCTGTGGAGGCTGTGACAAGATTTATGTAGGTGAAACAGCAAGAAACCTCGACACTCGCCTCAATGAACACATTTACGCATGTAGGAACGATAACTTGAATAACGCCTGTGTACAACACCGAAATTCCACCAATCATCTCATGAAATTCAGGGACGCCCAATTAGTGATCAAAGAAACTAATTTCCGCAGAAGCAAGTGCCTTGAGTCAGCACTAATCGCTGTTTCTAATACAATTAAACAAAACAAAGGCAGCTTCACCATCTCTGAAGTCTTAGCAAGAATCCTCCTGAAAACAGTAAACCCTGCCATCACCTAGCCTCTCCTGTTAATAGTACACAAAGCACATTACAGAGAGTGAACACTGAAACAGGCCTTCTCTATCCAGTCTATATTTGTCTAACCTATTTTTATGTTACCCAAGTAATAACTTTTATATCCTTTTACTCATGTACGAGTTAATTGTACTACCATATTGTATTACTACTACTACTACAACTTATGTCACTACTACTACTACCACTAGTATTGCACCTCACTCTGAGCCTATATATGTATACCCTCTGTGTCCATGTACTGTTTGTAACGGCTTGATAAAGCTCCTGGAGAGCGAAACGTTGCCACAATATAATGTCACATTAGTTGCACTTCTGTCCTTTTACTTTACATATTGTTGGTAATTCTACCAACATTATTACAATATGACTTCATGACCCTCACGAGTTTAGCGCTCTCCATGGCTGAAATGACGTACTTTTTACAGATGTGGTAGGCAAGATGTCGAAGTGGATCAATGGATTGATGAGAGTGGGTGGAGAAGTGGTGAGGACAAGACTATCACCACCACTACCACCAGCTGTAACTACCACCACCCCTACTATCAGCTGCAACAACCAGTTCCACCATACCTACCCTAAAGTGATCAACCATAATCAATGCCTAACATCTTCAGACAACCACGAGAGTATTACCAGCAACCCACCATCAACCACCATCCAGCCATATACAGGAGGGCCCTGCTTATACAGCAGGTTAGGTTTTGGGCTACTGTAGGGCCCTGCTTATACAACTGGTTAGGTTTTGGGCTACTGTAGGGCCCCACTTACAGCTGGTCAGGTTCGTGGCTACTGCTGTAAAATGAAAATTGTTGCTTGACATGTTTACACTATCATATATTAAGTGAACAATATAGTTAGGCCTAAAATATGCATATACAGTACACATTACTTTAAGTATTTTCGTCCTTAGCTTGTAGTGAGTGGTGACTATTTATTGTAGGAAGTCTGAATATATGAAGAATGGGTATAATTGAAAACCACTGGTTGCAACAGTCAAGTACAGTAACAACATGCAGGAGGCGGCCTACAATTGAGCACAAAAGTGGGAGATAGATTTACAGTGGCTTAGAACACTGGGTATTTGTACAATTTTTTTTAATTTGTATTTGAAGTGAACCACCCTTGGCTGTGGGCCCCACCATTCAGCATAAGTCGTGATGCATATTTATGTGAAGAGTGATTTATTTACACATAAAAAAAATTCTTCCCATCTAAATTTTACTCTTCCTCAGATGCTGTACGTGAATAAATCACCAAATCTAATGAGAACTTGAAATGGAGCTGTTGTGTTGGACTCACTGTGTGAAGCTCATCAAGATGACTTACAACTGCATCATCAAATTCTAGAGCAACAAAAGAAGGTGAGTAAATTTATAGGTTAGTATTAGAGAGAGTTTGAGTTTGAGAGTTTATTGGGGTTCAAGTCCAGGGTTGAAGATAAAAAAAAGAAGATAAAGGAGTGAGAGGAGACTACAAGAGGTCACCATCAGTTGCACTGTGACCAGCTCAAAAAAAAAAATGCTGTTAAGTCGCCTCATAACATTAGTGGTTTGATTAAGAATACAAGTAGGAAAAAAAAGCTGAAGATATTGGACTTAGACTGTATACCAGTTAGCTAAATAAACATAGGTTGTGGTGTAGTTTACCATAGCCTGAATATAAATATATTCATAGATAACATAATCATAGTACAAGGTATCTGCACGTTGATCAGCAGATTGTAGTAAAGCCTGAGACAGGAACACTGTGTGTGTGATAAAGATGAGTTTCTTGGATATACATACAGACAGTGTCAAGCAGGGAGATTAACATCTGGAACTAGTCTATATTACTCTGTTTTTGAAAATGGTATAAAATACCAACCAGTTGGTGAGTAAGATGCATGTGTAACAGATGGGTATCTTTTTATTATTATTAACACACTGGCCGATTCCCACCAAGGCAGGGTGGCCCGAAAAAGAAAAACTTTCACCATCATTCACTCCATCACTGTCTTGCCAGAAGGGTGCTCTACACTACAGTTTTTAAACTGCAACATTAACACCCCTCCTTCAGAGTGCAGGCACTGTATTTCCCATCTCCAGGACTCCAGTCCGGCCTGCCGGTTTCCCTGAACCCCTTCATAAATGTTACTTTGCTCACACTCCAACAGCACGTCAAGTATTAAAAACCATTCGTCTCCATTCACTCCTATCAAACACGCTCACGCACGCCTGCTGGAAGTCCAAGCCCCTCGCACACAAAACCTCCTTTACCCCCTCCCTCCAACCTTTCCTAGGCCGACCCCTACCCCGCCTTCCTTCCACTACAGACTGATACACTCTTGAAGTCATTCTGTCTCGCTCCATTCTCTCTACATGTCCGAACCACCTCAACAACCCTTCCTCAGCCCTCTGGACAACAGTTTTGGTAATCCCGCACCTCCTCCTAACTTCCAAACTACGAATTCTCTGCATTATATTCACACCACACATTGCCCTCAGACATGACATCTCCACTGCCTCCATTGTTGAAATATTTTGTGTACCATGCAGGTAAAACATTTCAACAATAATGATACCCAGCTGTTACACATGTATTTTATTTATCATTTTAATTTTGTTTCCTTTTGGGATTGCATTGTATAATAGGCATTTTAAGTAGAAGCTGAAAAATAATCTGATGGACTCTGAAAAAGACAGCAATCAAGTACAGTCTGGTGTTATCAAAAGAACAGAAAGTACCAAGAAAATCATGTGCAAAGGGAGGCAAAATACTACTAGATGGAAATATGGTAAATGCCAGTAGTGATGAGGAAAAAGGAGGGTATTCTGTAGAAGAACAGGTCAACAGCTGGGTACTGAGGCAGGAGTCAACTTCTCTTTTTAGTTTCAACAAGTGTTTATAATATTCTGGGGACTCAGTAATTAGTATTTTACTCCCAAAACTAAATTGTGAGCTATACAACTTTCTTTATACCATAAGATGACAAATTTAGCTGTTCTTCCTCAGCTCAGTTTAAAACTCAATCCTATCATCTTGTGTAAACACCCCTTCCCCCCAGAATGCCACCTATAAAAGTAGGCTAGCATCCTCATATCTATTTAATTCTGGGTAAACTGAGGCACCAGGTGTAAGGCAACTCCTCCCTAGTTTATACCCATCCAGGATCTATCCAGATTGTAATAATATTGGTAGAATTACCGACTATGTTAAGTAAAAAGATACAAATGCAACTAATGTGACATTTTATTGTGGCAACGTTTCACTCTCCAGGAGCTTTGTCAAGCTGTAAGAAAATATCATATTAGTTCCATGTGTGTCCTTTTACTTAACAGGATCTAACCAGATGATTTTAACCCTTTGAGGGTTTCGGCCGTACTAGTACGGCTTATGACCCAGGGTTTTTGACGTACTAGTACGCCTAAATTCTAGCGCCCTCAAATCTAGTGGGAGAAAGCTGGTAGGCCTACATATGAAAGAATGGGTCTATGTGGTCAGTGTGCACAGTCTAAAAAAATCCTGCAGCACACAGTGCATAATGAGAAAAAAAAAAACTGACAGTTTTTTTGGAATAAAACAGCGACTTTGCATTGTATTTTCGTATGGTATTTATTGTTGTATTTTAGTTTTCTTGGTCTCATTTTATAGAATGGAAGACATGTTACAGAAATTGAGATGATTTTGACTGGTTTTACAATGAAAAGTACCTTGAAATTGAGTTCAAAGTAGCAGAAATGTTAAATTTTTACCAAAGTTCAAAAGTAAACAAATCATGCCAAGCGTCCAATACACATCAACTGGTGAGTCTAATATTCTTTCACAAGTGCGCCAATATTATTTATACCATTTTTTACACTAATGCAGTAGTCTGCATAACAGTAAATCTTCTATTTTTTGTGAGAATAAAAATTCAAAATGGAAAGCAAAAGAATGTAAGAGGGGCCTTGAGACACAACTAATGAACAGAGGAAATGTCATTTTAGTGCCAGGAATGTCTTTCTTGTTTATTCTGGACCCTATTCGGAAATTGGCATCTTTTGAAATTTGTGTGAAATTGGCAAAATTGCTAAATTCTGACCACTGTACTGGATAGTTGAAATTGGTAAATGGGTGGTTTCTTGCACTCATTCGATAGAAAAAATGGAGTTCTAGCGAAATATTCATAATTTTTGTCGACTAGTACAGTGGAATTGGCCGAAAATGGGACTCAAAGTGGGCAAAATCGCCGATGCGTAAACATTGCCGAGACCGCTAACTTTGCGAGAGCATAATTCCGTAAGTTTTCCATCAAATTTCATACTTTTGGTGTCATTATGATTGGGAAAAGATTCTCTATCTTTTCATAAGAATTTTTTTTTTTTTTTTTAATTTGGCCGACCCTGAGAACGAGTCTCGGAGAGGGCCTGTCGACCCTCAAAGGGTTAATTGTAAATTGAAGGATCTACTAGTAAAGTATAGTTGGGAGGTGGGGGGCAGGGAGCAGGGCTGTTTCCTTGGGTCCCATGCCTACTAGGGAAGACCCATACTAGATTTTAGAACATAAGAAGAGTGGAGCACTGTAATTGGTTGAATAGTCCATGACAGACAGGTAAAACTGTCCCCCAACCACACTCACTCATGTACCTTCTAACCTTTATTTTTTTTTAAGGCTATGCAGGGGGGATTAAGGATTATTAGAGTAGTAGGTGCATCAGGTTAGATCCTAAATCAGACCATGCAATGTTTTGCCTGCTCTGCAGGCTTAAGTCTCGATGTGGAGACAGCTAAGAATAGAGTACATATACTATAGTGATCACTATTTATACTCCTGTCTTAGTTGTCTCTGCAGTAGGAATGAAGAAGCCATTTATGACAAAATGTTCCGGTTAATAAATGTCAAGACATTAGTGTCTTCCACAATTCTGAAAGTTTCCACTTGGCTGAGCACATTACCGTGGGTGATATCACTCGCCCATCTCTGCATCTTGCGTCTCTCCGCCATAAATATGAGGGTTCAACCAAAAACCGCTTGGTGCAAAATCCACCTTTAGGAAAAAACACGCTTACAAAACTCACCAGGAGAAAAATCCACTCATTCTTAATGCTATTAATTCCCACCTTGGTTGTATGGTGGGTGTAAGGTAACACATGGTGTCCCGAAACTCAGTTGGTAGCACACTCAGCTCACGAACTGAGGTCTGGGGATCGATCTCTGTTACGAATGGAAACATTAGGATGTGATTCCTTAAGGTACCTGCTGTCCATGTTCACCTATCAGCAAAATAAGTTCCTGGGTGCTAGTGGACTGGTGTGGGTCATAATTTGCCAGAAATGCTCTGCATAACCAGGGGCTTCCTATATAGTAGTACATTGATGTCAGCTAGCCCTGTATACCTCGTACATGTACTTGTAGAAAAAAATATTATTATTATTATCTGGACCTGTGGAGGAAATTAGTTGGTATGAGTACTAGAGGTATGTACTCTAAAAAACGAAACTCATGCATATATAGAAAATGTAGTGACATTAGTATATCTTTCCTCTTTCAACATACTGGCCGTATCCCACCAAGGCAGGGTGGTCCAAAAAGAAAAATGAAAGTTTCTCTTTTTACATTTAGTAATATATACAGGAGAAGGGGTTACTAGCCCCTTCTGGCATTTTAGTTGCCTCTTACAACACGCATGGCTTACGGAGGAAGAATTGTGTTTCACTTTCCCATGGAGGTAAAAGGAAATAAACAAGAACAAGAACTAGAAAGAAAATAGAAGAAAACCCAGAGGGGTGTGTATATATATGCTTGTACATGTATGTTTAGTGTGACCTAAGTGTAAGTAGAAAGTAGGAAGACGTACCTGTAATCTTGCATGTTCATGAGACAGACAAAAGACACCAGCAATCCTACCATCATGTAAAACAAATACAGGCTTCCGTTTTACATTCACTTGGCAGGACGGTAGTACCTCCCTGGGTGGCTGCTGTCTACCAACCTACTACCTGAAACGTTAATATATATGCTCAGTAAAAGCCCACATTGAGACAGAAACTCGGAAAATTAATTAATTAATTAGTTATCTGAGTTTTTGTTTCTATTTGGGTTATTATTGAGCACTGACAAGTGTTCATTATGCTTTCTTTAGTTATTCATTAACATGTATGTAGAGTCCTGGGTGACTTAGAGGTGAATGTTTAAGTGTGGATGATGCGTTATGCCATTTTCAGTTGATAGTCCATTATTGAACATAGTACTGTACATTTCTGCGTATTTAGCATCATGAGAACATTTTGTGTAATTTTACGAGTTGAGGTTTTTACATTAACGTGCCGTTTTTGTGGTTATATAAGTGTATAATAGCACTGAGTGACCTTTGACTGTGAGTGCTGTGTAAATATCAGTCTC